GAATGGTCACACTCTCAGGCTAGTACTGAATAAAAGTGAGGGTGAAAAACTGAATAAATATCAGGACCTTTTGTAAAAAAAAAGGATAGCATATTAAGGTGGCAGCAGTAACTATAATTATTGGAGTACTTGGAACCTCCCCCAAAAGAACCTTTTCAAACACAGTAGAAAAAAATGGAAATTCGTGATAGAACTGTAACTATTTTAGCAATTGCATTCTTGAAATTCACATGGATACAAGCGAAAATGCTAGCGCTATGAAAAAATTTGTTGTCGCTTGATCCTGAGCGAGAATTTTCAAATATCGACGCGAAAATATATTATCATTATTATTAATGGATTTTGATTATTCATAATTTACACACTATTATTATTATTATTATTGAAGGTGACTTGCTGTCACTTGATTCCGTGAATAAGAACGCGCTAAAATGTAAATTTTCTGTCTGGAAATGATGGATAAGAATCTCGACCTTTACAGACAAGTAAAGAAGTTATCAAACAAGAATAGACGGTCGTGTCTGTTGTTATTGGAGCACTAGGAACAACCCAGGAGTGCCTGTGGAATAGGATGAAAAGACTGGACATCAGAAGAGTTGGGTGACATTGCTCAGATACCGAGGAAAGTGCTGGAGTATTAAGAGGGGATTTGCTGTCACTTAATGGCTAGTGAAATTCACTGGATGTTATTTGATGAAAACATTCAATAATAATAGAGATTGTTGGAGAATTTGAAACTGGAAAAAATATACAGCAAAGCTCGTAAGATGAAAGTGAAAGCAGTACTCATAGTCCCTTGCACACTTGAACACAAAATATAATTCTCAAAATATTGAAAGTAATTGGATGTAAAAAAAAGTGTAAAATATTTCGCACCATTTTATTTGCTAAGAACGTTGAGAGAATGCTGAAGATTGGATGAAGTTTTTTGTTACTTGACTGTCAGTAATGACTAAAAAAATATCATGACTGAAGTAATAATAATAATAATAATAATAATAATAATAATAATAATAATAATAAAAATAATGGAGTAGCATTAGTTGGTGCAATAGTCGTAGTAAGAGATGCAAAATGATAGTGGGATAAATAAGCGATCATTTCAGCGGTAGTAGAGCAGTAGTAACAGTGGCGTCAGGAGTTGCAGCTAGAGACGTAGAATGTAGACGAGTTGCTATTGTTTGCTATTGTATCATAAGAAGCGCTATAGTAAACTATTTTTTCTTCTTTCTTCTTCACCAAAATCAGATCTAAAATCTACCCAGATTTCATATCAACTCCAACTTCACTTCAAAATTCGTTTCCATCATCCAATTTTATTTAAATTTTTAAAAATTTATCAACAATATCGACCTATTTTGTTAGGCGTTACTATTATTAGTTCTTCCCACGTGAGACTTTAAATATATCATCCCAATTATTGTGTTAATTTATTAATGCCCACTATCCGATTTGGGGGAACGGTCAATATTAATGTATTATAAATAGAAAGCTTTGATTAATCCCTGCTTTTTATAGACATTTAACTAATATTTAGAAATAATAAATAAAGAAACATTTGAGAATTTGACGCTAACAGGAAATATTGAAGGCAAGACGGACGGAGGGAAAGCCTACCTAACGTGCTTGTGTAAACGGATAGTAGAACTTACCAAGTGCTGCAAAGGATAGGAAGTTGTGAAGAGCCATAAACAACAACGTCTTGAAAGAACTCCACAAAGAAGAAGCAGAAAAAATCATTAATACTGGATTTTTTTAAACGTCTGTAATTAATAACGGACTTTTATTTTAATTTGTCTAATTAATACCGGCTTTAATGTTGGATATTAATGGGTTTATATTTTCCAAGCGTAGCTTAGATGTGGCACAAGACCGAAAGTAGGGGGCACCCTGTGAGGATCAAACTCCTTACTCAGTCGTAATTGTTCTAGCGAGACAACCTTGATAACCGTAGCACTACGCCAAGGAAAAACCATGAGTTAATATATAGCAGTTCTGGGACATCAGTTTTATTATTTAAAACATGAAACTTTTTAAAACATTAAACTCAACTCTTTTATGAATATTACTTAAACCACACCAAAAGAACGATCATTTCTTATTATTATTTGAAAATTTTCTCATGCGAGTTTTTAAATATATTTTCCCAGTTTTTATAGCACTATGTAGAAATGGAAAACAGAAAAAAGATACCAACTTTATATCGAGTGGTTATATAAATATTGACACGAGTTTAACAATACCACAGATATCACGGCATATTGTGCTAAGTTCTTAATATTGCTAGATTTTCATTTGTGTGTGAATCTTTAAACATATTTTCCAGTTGTTATTATAATATACTGCTCATTCACGTTTTTTAACAACCGTGGCAAAGTTACCGCCGGTCGTCGCCAAGGAAGATAACTCTTATAGAGTAAAAAGTCGTAGAATCGTGGCTATTATAGACAAACTTATAAACACACTTAGCGTATTCTACGGAAAGATTGTAAATCGAAAAAACTTGACAGTTGTAAGATAACGATTTGCGAGTTAAGATAAAAGGTAACAAAAATAAACTGAAGGACATTTTAATAAAAAAAAATAATAATCATGATCGAAAATCTTTTAAATTTTTCACGCGTGTGTCTTTGTTGCTTTTTATCGGTTGTTATTTTCGACTGTTAAGTAAGAATGCAGAAAAGAAGGTAAATCTCTGCTAATATTTGAATCCAAGACCCTTCTTCTGACCTGTTACCAATTTGGCCACTTAGCATAATCCTTTGTTCACAATTCATACAATTTAAGCGGTTGTAGAAAGACAACCTTAGAGTTGTGATGAGAAGAAATAAAATGAGAAAGTGGAGTAAAAATCAGTCTGGGGGTAAGTACAAAATTGTATTAGGGCTTTCAGAAGGGAGAAAATAAATATATATCAAAAATATATTCAGACTAAGAGGAAGAAAGATCAAGGATATGCAAAGAAAAAATACTCATCTTAAAAAGGCGGATTTAAAAACAGAAAAAAAGAAAGGAACGAAGAAAGAATGACAAAAAGAATGAAAGAAATGAATGAATAAAAGAGAAAAAAAAAAGCTCTTCCTAACTCTTCAAATACAATCGAGCACAAAACAGAACAGCAACGAGCGATAACCGGTTCGGCCATTTTCTTTTTTCTTATCTGTTTTTTTTTTTTTTTTTTTTGTTGGATTTTTGATTCACTGTTTTACGGTGAGTGATAATTTTTGAAAAACATTTTTTTTTTTTGCTGATCTTTGGATTTCCTCCCTTTGTTTTAATATATTTAATTATATATTTATATTTACTTACACAATGTTCGTTTATAAAGCCCTATTAATAAAACTGCAGGTCTCTGACGAAGATTTATAAAGAAACAGTTAACTAAAATGAAAGAAACATTTGGTCAAAGAGAAGTAGCAATGACCGTTCTTCATCTAAAAAAATTACGAGGTGCGTATTATACAGAAAGACTTGTTCCAAATTTCGACATCCGAGATCGAAGTGTGGCTAAGATGCAAAATCAATTAATTGAAACCAGTTGATTGACGATTTGTTTTTCACGGCTTATCAACCCTTTACAGGTTATTCAAAGCTAGAAAATATTTTGTAAGATTTCTATTTTTTTTTTTTTGGTAGTATTAAAGAGTAAAAAATATTGCTGTCCATTCTACAGTCTTCGTTAGTTTTATAATTCATATGGAAAAAGAAATGCTTCGTATATTGGGGGTAGTACAAACCAGAAAATTCTATCAAGCAGATCATTTACAACGTTTACAGTACATACCTTGTCAATTAAGTCCATATTCAACAATTCGTACATACAGTTTATTTCATAATTTTCACGTGGAGATTTTCATAAATGTATTCTCTGCTCAAGGAAAGAATTCAATGTCATGTTCTTATTGAGCAAAACACCAAACACTAGGGTCTTTTTCAGCAACTTAGACCCAAATATAAAAAAAAAACTTGCGAGAAAGCAAGAAAAAAAAACAAAAAAAAAAGATTATTAAACGGAAAATCCTATAGTCTTTAACAACTCATACCTCGAAAATCTTTTGGTTGAGCACTGTTGAATGATGGGCGAATTCTATAAGCTGCAGCTGTCAGCGCTAACACATCTCTCTTCATTAATGAATAGAGCATTCTGGCTGTCTGGTGTTTGTTTACATTCGTAAAAACAATACGCTAGGATCCGTCTTTCTCTCGTCCGAAGCGCCGATGGCTTGTGGGTTAGAAACTCCGACTGATACCAATACGGATTTCGATACTGGCTTGAAGCATTCAGTTGTCTAGTCGCACTGATGGGCTGTGATACAGCGAAACAGGCCTGCATGCGAATGACTATATATATATATATATATATATATATATATATATGTAAAATGTGTATGTATATAAATAAGAATATTTATATATATATATATATAAATATATATATATATATAAAGTTCAACACAAAATCCAACATTGAATACAGCAGCCAATTGCGTACGTAAGTACGCAACGACACATGGATGCGCATATATGCCCAGACCCACACTGTTCATATATGTTTGTTTGTGTCATTTGCAATGCGTGAACTTGCAATGCGTGTATGTATGTCTGCGTACGTATGAGGGGCTTTCCGACGACAATTTATCCTCCCACTACCATATAACACCGACATTTTTTTAAAAATAATCAGTTTGTCTGACGATCGCAGAGAGCGTGAAACCCAGGGTCACAGACTAGCATAAATCCAACAAAATATATGTGTGCGTGTGTGTCCGTGTGTTTATATTGCACTACCGAGAAAAGAAATTTTATCGTTTACTAAGATGGTATGTCTCAAGAAGACTGTCGTAGTGATCAAGTGAAACTTGCTGGAAGACGAATAAATAACGTAAAGGATGGGTTCAGTTCACTATTTACATTATTCGGACTATTGTCCTCATCTTTGTCGCCATATTTATTACAACGTTTCGGCCGTTGTACGCTCCGGCCTTCTTCAGATGGTTGGA